CAAAAAAAAAAAAGTTATGGAATAATGAGCAAAGAGGTTCAGCTGCTTGCCCAAGGCCTGGTCTTGCTTGGCTTTCGTCACAGGGACCTCTGCGTTGGCTGGCTGTTGGGACGGGGATATCTGGAAACTGGTTGTCCCTTGTACAGAGGAAACAGTGGGGAGAGCTAGGCCCCAATTTCTGGGTTATTTTCTTGGCTCTGCCATTTTCTTTTTCTTTTTCCCCCTGAGTTATCGTTTCCTGTTCTTTAAAAAAATTAGTTCAATAGGCTTTGGGGAGCAGGTGGTATTTGGTTACATGGATACATTCTTTTTTTTTTTGAGATGGAGTCTTGCTCTTTCACCCAGGCTGTAGTGCAGTGGCGAGATCTTGGCTGACTGCAACCTCCACCTCCCTGGTTCAAGCAGTCCCCTTGCCTCAGCCTCCTGAGTAGCTGGGATTACAGGTGCCTGGCACCATGCCTGGCTAATTGTTTTTGTATTTTTAGTAGAGACTGGGTTTCACCATGTTGGCCTGGCTGGTCTTGAACTCCTGACCTCAGGCAATCCACCTGCCTCGGCCTCCCAAAGTGCTGGGATTACAGGCATGAGCCACCACACCTGGCCACAGATACATTCTTTAGTGGTGATTTCTGAGATTTTGGTGCACTCCTCACCTGAGCTTGTACACTGTACTCATTGTGTAGTTTTTTTTTTTTTTTTTTTTCTTGGCTGGGTGCGGTGGCTCAGGCCCATTAATCCCAGCATTTTGGGTTTTCGAGGCAGGTTCCAGACTGGAGTGCAGTAGCGTGATCTCAGCTCACGGTAACCTCTGCCTCCTGGGTTCAAGTGATTCTCCTGCCTCAGCCTCCCAAGTAGCTGGGACTACAGGCGCACCTCACCACACCCAGCTAATTTTGTTGTATTTTTAGTAGATACGGGGTTTCACCATGTTGGCGAGGATGGTCTCAATCTCTTGACCTTGTGATCTGCCCGCCTCAGCCTTCCGAAGTACTGGGATCACAGGTGTGAGCCACCACGCCCGGCCTCCATTGAGTACGTAGTCTTCTATCCCTCATCCCCCTCCCAGCCTTACCCCAGAGTCTCCAAAGTCCATTGTTCATTCTTATACCTTTGTGTTCTCTTATAAGTGAGAACATATGTTTGGTTTTCCATTTCTGAGTTACTTTGCTTAGAATAATGGTCTCCAACTTCATCCAGGTTGCTGCAAAGGCCATGATTTTGTTCCTTTTTATGGATGAGTAATAGTCCAGGGTGTGTGTGGGTGTGTGTGTATACGTATATATATCTATATATACACACACACACATATCTAGATATATATGTGTGCATATATATATATACATATATATATACAGATATACCTCTTATGTCTGTGTATATAATACGTATATATGTATACACATATACATATACATATATACGTGTATACACACACACATATATATATAACATTTTCTTTAGCCACTCATTAATTGATGGGCATTAGAGCTTGTTCCATATATTTGCAATTGTGAATTGTGCTGCTATAAACATGTGTGTACAAGTGTCCTTTGTCAGATGTGTAGTTTGCGAAGATTTTCTCCCACTCTGTGAGTTGTCTATTTACTCTGCTGATTATTTCTTTTGCTGTCTCATCTATAAGTTTAACTAGGTCCCATTTATTAATCTTTGCTTTTGTTGTGTTTGCTTTTGGGTTCTTGGTCATGAAGTCTTGGCTGAAGCCAACGTTTAGAAGAGTTTTTCACATATTATCTTCTAGCATTTTTATCGTTTCAAATCTTAGATTTAAGTGTTTGATTCATCTTGAGCTGATTTTTGTATAAGGCGAGAGTTGAGAATCCAGTTTCATTCTTCTACATGTGGCTTGCCAATTGTCCCAGCCATTTGTTGAATAGGGTGTCCTTTCCCCATTTTATGTTTTTGTTTGCATTGTTAAAAATCAGTTGACTGGTTTTTTTTTTTTTTTTT